TTTTAATAATAAATATAATAATAAATTTAATAATAAATTTAATAATAAATTTAATAATAAATTTAATAATAAATTTAATAAATAAATTTAATTTAATAATAAATTTAATAATAAATTTAATAATAAATTTAATAATAAATTTTAATAATTATTATAATAATAAATTAATAATAAATTTAATAATAATTTTAATAATAAATTTAATAATAAATTTAATAATAAAATTAATAATAAATTTAATAATAAATTTAATAATAAATTTAATAATAAATTTAATAATAATTTTTAATAATAATTTTAATAATAATTTTAATAATAAATTTAATAAACAATATAATAAATTTAATAATAATTTTATTAATAAATATAATAATAAATTTAATAATAATTTTAATAATAAATTCAATAATAAATTTTAATAATAAATTTAATAATAAATTTAATAATAATTTTAATAATAAATTCAATAATAAATTTAATAATAAATTTAATAATAATTTTAATAATAATTTTAATAATAATTTTAATAATAAATATAATAATAAATATAATAATAATTATAATAATAATTTTTAATAATAAATTTATAATAATTTTAATAATAAATTTAATAATAATTATAATAATAATTTTAATAATAATTTTAATAATAAATTTAATAATAAATTTAATAATAAATTTAATAATAATTTTAATAATAAATTTAATAATAATTATAATAATAATTTTAATAATAAATATAATAATAATTATAATAATAATTTTAATAATAAATATAATAATAAATTTAATAATAAATTTAATAATAATTTTATTAATAATTTTATTAATAAATTAGTTGGAATCAAATCCAAATTTAACTAAAGGATTTATGGATCTTTTTGTTGGATATGCCCAATTAATCCTTTTACTTTCTAATTTTCAAGGCAGAAGATTATTTCTGGTTTTATATCGTTTAGTTGTTTATCTTAAAACTAGAACAGATTTTGAAGATTTTGGACCTCTTTTAATTTTATTTCATAAATATGATAACCCAATGAAACAATTATATGAAGATTTGCATGATTTTGCTCCTGCTGTTTCTCCAGCTCTTGGAAGTTTGATTCCACTTTTTACATTAGTTTCAACACCTGATGTAATTAAAAATTAAAATTCATTTCGAAAATTAAAATTAAAATTCATTTTGAAAATTAAAATTAAAATTAAAATTAAAATTAAAATTCATTTTGAAAATTAAAATTCATTTTCAAAATTAAAATTCATTTTCAAAATTAAAATTTAAAAAGGAACTGAGAAAGAAAGGTGTGTTTTCAATTACTTTACAAGAAAATTTATTACAATATCCAATCGAAGACAATATCCATTTTCAACTTCCTTATTTTTCAACATATACACAATGGATAATATATGGATTATTATTCTGCCCTCAATTATTTGAATCAGAACAATTTCACACTTTGCTTTATTTAGTTCTTGCAAATTCTTATATTATTCCAATTTATCGAGATGTTACATTCTTTCCTCATCAAGAATTTGAAAATTTATTTGGATTGAATTTGTTAAAAACAATGAAAACATCAAAAAGAAAACAAAATATTTCAACTGCTTTAAATAACGCAATTACAAAAAGTCATCAATATCATCGTGAACTTCGCGCTTTTCTTCGTCAAGAAATTAATGCTTTAGCAAATTTTATGATTTCAAGACCAACTTTACTTCCTCTCAAAATTCATGTGATTATTAAAATTTAATTGAAATCAAAATTGAAAATTTTTAAAATTTTTTTTAAATTCAATTTAGATCGTTTTAAGTGCAATTGGTTTTTGTATTTATGAAGTTAATTGGCTCTTTCGCCATAAAAGAGATACTCCAAAATCTAAATTCAAAGTATCTCCTGATGATTTAAAACCAACAGATATTCTTCCGTTAATGAATATCATTGAGAAACTTTACAATGTTGTTTCAACAAATACAGAAAGTAAAAACAAATTTTTTATCAAGAAAAAAAGAGTAGAAAATTAACAAAAAATTCCAAAAAAAAATTGTTTGTGTTCTTTCTCTATAGTTATTCAAAGATATTATTATAAATTTCTGATTCGAAACGATTTAAAAGCTTTGGAAAGATATTATATTCAATTTTTTCAAGAAAGAAAAGATAAACTTAAAGACATTTTCGAACAAAATTTAAAGTTTATTGAAGAACTAAGCGAGGAAAAAATAAAAAATAATACTTCAAATTTAGACATATTAAGACTGAATTGGTTTAGAAGTGAATGCGCACTTTCTTTCAAATCATTTTCAATAACAGAACCTGGACTCAATAAACTTGGAGAGTTTCCAAGTCGATTGCAAAAACATATTGAAAGATCCAAAATGATCGATATTATGATTTCACAATTAAATTTAGTTGGAGGAATCCACACATTTTATCCATATATTCAAGATATTTATTCGATTGTTTACGATACAATTCCATCACCAAATCTGGAGCAAGAAAATTGCATTATTTTTTTGAAATTGCTGAATAATTCCCACATGATTATTTCACCTTTTTACACTGAAGAATTACAAATAATCGGAAAGAAATCCAAACACTATGCAAAAAGATTATTTCATGTAATTTCGGTTAGAATAACTGGACTTGTCCGGAGTATTGCAAGCATCAAATTTGGATTTACTTTTTTGGATCAGCAAATCACGCCAGTTAATGCTGCTCTTCATTTAATAAACGAGCAAATGTCTGAACAAAAAGGAGCAAATAAACAAGAACTTCTTTTTCCAGGTGTTGAATCTTTATTTAATCAAAGAAAGCGAGTTGAACAACTGCAAAAATGGCAAAACCAATTTTATCGACTAGCTCAAGTGCTGAGTTTTTATCCTACTTTTGAAATTTATAATAAAAGGTTTTCTCCTTCAAAGTTTCTTATTGAAGAACTTGAAAATGGAGTAAAAGGTCATTTACTTAAGTTAATTTATGAAGATGATGAAAGATCTATTATTCAAAAGCCTTCTGTTTTTCTTAGCATTGTTTTGAATTTAATTTATTCATTGAAATTGGTTGAAGATATTCGTATTTATTTAAAAAATCATTTATGAAATAATTTTAAAAATTTATGAATTTATTATAAAATTTATTCAATAGTTAACATAAATACACTTGAAATTGTTCGAAAAGTAATGCTTAAACAAATATATCAAAACAATGGAGGTGCTCGAGGACAGATAATATCACTCCGAGAGCCAGCAATTTTAGATTCAAGTATAATATCCGAATATATGACTTGGATTTCAAGTTTTATTCAAAATTATATTACTGATGGTGTGATTTATTCTCCTTTAAGAAAAGCTTTTATTTCACTTCCTGGAATGTTGTTTTTATCAGAAGTTTATTTTAATATTCAAGAAATGGAAGCTCTTTGTAATTTTTTTGGTCCTTATGGAATTCGTTCAATTGATAATCAAATACTTAGATTTATTGTTAAAGATATTCTTGAATTGAAGGTTTATTTTTATTTAATTTAATTTTTATTTAATTTAATTTTGATTTTATTTAATTTTTATTTAATTTAATTTTAATTAGGATTTTGTTTTCCAAAATTCTGAAAATATTCAAAAATTTGCTGCTTGTTATAATGAATTAGATAAATCTTGGGAATTTATTAAAAAAATTACAAATATTGAAAAGATTCTTGATCTTTTAATTCATATTGGTGCAACTCTTCAATTAAGAGAATTAATTTATGAAGCACTTCATAAATCATTAAAAAACAATGCTTCTTTAATTTATGAAAATGTTGAATTAGCATTCACACAAGTAAATCATTAAAATTCATTTATAAAATTAAAATTCATTTATAAAATTAAATTTAAAATTAAAATTAAAATTAAAATTAAAATCAAATTTAAAATTAAAATTCATTTATAAAATTAAAATTCAATTTAAAATTAAAATTAAATTTAAAATTAAAATTAATTTTTTAAATTTTAAAATTTAAATTAAAATTTAAATTTAAAATTAAAATTCATTTATAAAATTAAAATTAAAATTAAAATTAAAATTAAAATTAAAATTCATTTATAAAATTAAAATTAAAATTAAAATTAAAATTAAATTTAAAATTAAAATTAAAATTAAAATTAAAATTAAAATTAAAATTCATTTATAAAATTAAAATTAAAATTAAAATTAAAATTAAATTTAAAATTCATTTATAAAATTAAATTTAAAATTAAAAGTATCCCGAAAATTTATTAGCCAAAGAAGAATTTATAGACATAGATTGTTATGCACAATCATGTGGATTATTATCAAATTCATTAGTAGATCATCCATTTCGAGAAGCAATTATGATAGCAAATCAAACAGGAACAGGAATAGATTGGGGACTTTTACCTTATTTATTCGGAATATTATTTGCAAGTCCAACATGGATTTTTGCAAATTATTTACCAAATATTGATTCTCATTTAAACAACTCACATTGCATTGTTAAATCAATTAAAAAACTCCTTGTTATTCCATTTACAGTTCAAAGAAAACACATCACAAAATTGGAAGAAGAAGGAGAAATTTATTTGAAAAATCAATTCAGAAAATTCATTGAAGTTTCTTCTTTTGTTATTCTTCAAGTGGATCGCAATAAAGATCCTAAAAAACCTGTTTTAATTCGTGATATGTTTGTGATTCTTGATAAATTTATTGATAATTCAAATATTTTCTCTCGTGATTTACTTGATGAATTTATTCCTTATACTTTTTTAAGAACAATTTATTCTCGTTTCTTTAGAGAAACTAAAGCTGACCAAAAAGATGAAGATTTTGCAAAGGTTTCAAATGAACCAAAAGAAGAAATTATTGAAAATTCTCAACCTCAAATCTCTCAAACAAAATCAATTAATGAAAATGAGAAAGAAATCGAAAATAATTAACAAAAAAATTTGGTTTTAATTTTTTAATAAAAATAAAAATAAAAATAAATAAAAATAAATAAATAAAATAATGATGTGGACGGGATTCGAACCCGCGCTTCCAAAGGAAAATGACTTTCTAGTGTTAATCCTATAAGACGGACCATTTAATAAATTAAATGATCAAAGGGAAATAGGAATATAAACATCGCCTTAACCACTCGGCCACCACATCTTTTTATTTTAATTTTTATTTTAATTTTTTTTTATATTTTTTAAAAATTGGAAAAAGACCTCTTTTATAATCAAATTTATTTTCTATTTCTAATTAAATTATTAATATAAATTTATTTTCTATTTATAAATAAATTTACTTTTTATTTATAAATAAATTATTAATATAAATTTACTTTCTATTTATAAATAAATTAATAATATAAATTTATTTTCTATTTATAAATAAATTAATAATATAAATTTATTTTTTTATTTTAAATTTATTTTTTATTTTAAATAAATTAATATAAATTTATTTTTCAATTTATAAATAAATTATTAATATAAATTTATTTTCTATTTCTAATTAAATTATTAATATAAATTTACTTTTTATTTCTAATTAAATAAATTAAATAAATAAATTTTTATTTTCTATTTCCTTATAAATTAAAAATTTATTTTCTATTTAATAAAATATAAATTTTATTTTCAATTTATTTAAATAAATAATTAATTTAAATTTCTATTTCTAAATAAATTAATAATATAAATTTTTTTAAAAATGAATTTTCCCTTCATTTCTAAATAAATTTAATAATATAAATTTATTTTCTATTTCTAAATAAATTAATAATATAATTTTACTTTAAATTTTTTATAAATAAATTTATAATATAAATTTACTTTCGAATTTCTAAATAAATTATTAATATAAATTTACTTTCTATTTTTATAATTAAATTATTAATATAAATTTATATTTACTTTTTCTATTTATAAATAAATTATTAATATAAATTTACTTTTTATTTCTAAATAAATTATTAATATAAATTTATTTTCAATTTATAAATAAATTATTAATATAAATTTATTTTCTATTTCTAAATAAATTTATTTGGTATTTCTAAATAAATTATTAATATAAATTTACTTTCAATTTATAAATAAAATAATTAATATAATTTTAATTTAAAAAAAAATTTTATAAATAAAATAAATTTACTTTCTATTTATAAATAAATTTATTTTCTATTTCTAAATAAATTATTAATATAAATTTACTTTCTATTTATAAATAAATTATTAAAATAAAAATTAACGGAAATTTGAAAATGAAAAAATGAAAAAATGAAAAATATTTTATTTTTATTTATTTTTATTTTAATTTAAATTTGAATTTGAATTATTCTTTTCTTCAATTTCCATATTATTTTCAGCTTCATTTGGTAATGTTGCAAAATTTGTACAAGAAATAAATTGCAAAAGTTTTGGAAAATGTTGATATTTTTCACATAATTCAGTTTTCTTTTGAAGAATTTTTTTTTTCTGATCTAAAAGTTCTAATTGTTCTTCACGAGTAATTTTAAGTTCAGGACTGCTTTCAAGAATAGAAAAGCATTTTTCAATTTTTTCATCAAAAATTTGTACAGCTTTTGCAACTTCAACTGTTGAATTATTTTCAATTTTTTCTAATATTTTTAATACTTTTGGTAAAAGTTGAAAATTTTGTTCAAATTCCATTTAAAAAATTAAATTTAAAAAAATGAAAAATGAAAAATGAAAAATGAAAAATGAAAAATAAATTTTTTATTAAACTTTCTTTTTGTTTTTTTTTTTTTTGTTTTTGTTTTTTGTTTTTTCCGAATAATTTTGATTTCTTGTTTTAGATTATTTTTTTTTTTGATTTAATTGCTCGTAAAAAATCGAAAAAGATTTCTATTTAAAAAAAGGTTTTGTTTTTGTTAAAAAAATGTTAAAAATTTTTTTTTTGGATTAAAAAAATTTTTTCATACTTGAAAGCTGGAATAAAATGAGATGGATTCTTGTAATTTCATCACAAATAATTGAATCAATTTCACCATTTGAGGTAAATTATCAACAGAATTTGAAGAGTAAATAGATTGAATTTTTTTTGCAGTTTGTTGTGAAAGATTTAGATCTTTATTCTTTTTCTTAATTTGAGTTTCCAAATCAGAAAAAAGTGATGAATAAATGGAATTTTTTCTTTGATCTAATTGTGGATCAAATTGGGAAAGATCTTCAATTGAGTTAACAAATTCAAAAACTTCATCACTTTCTTTTTTTGTTTTAATTTCTTGAATAATGTTTTGAATTTCTGAATTTTCTTGAATATTTTCACTTAATTTTTGGAATTCTTCAATATCGCTAATAGTATTTGAATCAAAAAAATACGATTCAATTGTTAATACTTGGTCAAATTTTTGTTGGTGAGCTTTAAAAAAAATATCTAATTTTTGGTCTGAATTTGTTGCTTGAGTTAAAAAGTTCCCAAATTTTTGAACAAAAGAAAAAAATTCACTTTTTGTTTGAAAATATTAAAGTAATAATTTAAAAATTAAAATTAAATCAATTTCTTTTTGATTTAAATTTACGATTGTTTTAATTCTTTTTGAACTTGAAAATATTGTGAGTGCATTTTTTCTCTTAATTGATTTTGATATTGAAATAATTTGTTTATCTGTTCCATTCCATTCTAAAATTCAATTTTGAATTTTAATTTTGAATTTTAATTTTAATTTTAATTTTAATTTTAATTTTAATTTTAAATTTTAATTTTAATTTTAATTTTAATTTTAATTTTAATTTTGATTTTTGATTTTAATTTTGATTTTAATTTTAATTTTAATTTTAATTTTAATTTTAATTTTAAATTTTAATTTTAATTTTAATTTTAATTTTAATTTTAATTTTAATTTTAATTTTAATTTTAATTTTAATTTTAATTTTGATTTTAATTTTAATTTTAATTTTAATTTAAATTTTAATTTTAAATTTTTGATTTTTAATTTTAATTTTAATTTTAATTTTAATTTTGATTTTGATTTTAATTTTAATTTTAATTTTGAATTTTAATTTTAATTTTAATTTTATAAATGAATTTTAATTTTAATTTTGATTTTAATTTTAATTTTAATTTTAATTTTAATTTTAATTTTAATTTTAATTTTGATTTTAATTTTAATTTTAAATTTTAATTTTAATTTAATTTTAAATTTTAATTTGATTTTAATTTTAATTTTAATTTTAATTTTAATTTTAATTTTAATTTTAATTTTTAATTTTAATTTTAATTTTAATTTTAATTTTAATTTTTAATTTTGAATTTTAATTTTAATTTTAATTTTAATTTTAATTTTAATTTGATTTTTGAATTTTAATTTTGAATTTTAATTTTAATTTTAATTTTAATTTTAAGTTTTAATTTTAATTTTAGTTTAATTTTTGATTTTAATTTTGATTTTAAATTTTAATTTTAATTTTAATTTTGAGTTTTAATTTTAATTTTAATTTTAATTTTAAATTTTAATTTTTAATTTTAATTTTAATTTTAATTTTAATTTTGATTTTGAATTTTAATTTTAATTTTAATTTTAATTTTAATTTTAATTTTAATTTTAATTTTAATTTTAATTTTAATTTTAATTTTAAATTTGATTATTTTATACTTTGCTTATTATATCTTTCATAAAAGGTACTGAATTAGAAATTATGGAAATTTCTTGAAACAATGAATTATTGATAAATTCTTGAATGTTTTTTTCCAAATTATTGTATTTTTGTTCAATCATTTGAATTTGCTTTTCCAAAGAATCAAAATATTTTTTAATTGATTTCATAACAAAAATTGGAACTAAATTAACAAGTGGTTCATTTTTAATATACTCAGAAAAAATGACATCTTTTGATGGTTGTGTAATTAATTGATTGGGAGGAATTGCTTTCAAATTTTTATAACTTGGAATTTCAGTTAACATGAATTTTGCTTCTTTTTCTTCTTTTTCTAACATATTTGTTAATCTCTAATATAATATTTTTAAATTTTGATTTTAAATTTGATTTTGATTTTAATTTTGATTTTGATTTAATTTTAAATTATATTTAACTGGTTCAATATCTTTCATTGCTTCATTAAGTTCAGTAAAATTTGATTTAATTTTTTTGAATTCTTTTAATCTGGAAGTTGCATAACGAAGTCTAGAAATTTTCTCTTCATTTTTGATAGTTTTTTTTTTATGAGTTGAATCAGTTGAATAATCCAAATTCATTAATATATCCCAAAATAAAAGTTTTGATTGAATGTGATCCCAAAATTCCTGGAATAATATAAATTTATTTTAATTTTGAATTTAAATTTTAATTTAATTTGATTTTAATTTTGATTTTAATTTCTAAATGTACAGTTGGCAATTTTTTACTAAAAGAAGCTGTCACATATCTCATTGCTTTTTTATAAAGTTCACAAATTTGAGATAAAACAGTTGGAGTAGACTTAAATTTTCCTGTTCTTTTTGACCATGAAAACATAGCTTCTTCACCTTGTGCAAGCATTATAGTTGAACAAAAATCTAAAAACTCAGGACTTAAATCAAATGTTGATTCTGGTAATTTCTTTGTGATTTCTTTAACAAAAAGAAACCATTTTGAAGCTTGTGAAAATATTCTCATAATTTCTTTAAGTTCTGCAACATCACTATAAGATAAAGTCATTGGTGCTTGGCTTAAAATTGATGCATAATTAAATAAAATTGATGCTTTTTCGAATTCGAAATCTGGGGAAGAATCTTTTTGAATTAAAATTAATTTAAATATTTAATTTAATTTTATTTAATTTAATTTAATTTGATTTAATTTGATTTAATTTGATTTAATTTGATTTAATTTGATTTGATTTGATTTGATTTGATTTGATTTGATTTGATTTGATTTGATTTAATTTGATTTAATTTGATTTAATTTGATTTAAATATTTGATTTGATTTGATTTAAATATTTGATTTAAATATTTAATTTGATTTAATTTGATTTAATTTGATTTAATTTGATTTAAATATTTGATTTGATTTGATTTAATTTAATTTGATTTAATTTAATTTAATTTAATTTTATTTGATTTGATTTAATTTAAATATTAAATTTGATTTGATTTGATTTGATTTAATTTGATTTGATTTAATTTGATTTAATTTAATTTGATTTAATTTAAATATTTAA